ACTGAATAGTTCGCTTTTTAGATTAAAAGAAAAGAATTGCTTCGCTTCTACATAAAACAGCTCCGCTGCGGCCTTCCCGCGCTATGCGCGCGACCTGCAAGTGTTTGTGTTACGTGTGAGCTGTGCATTCTGATGAGAGCGATAGATGACTGTGTGCCAGGAGGTTGCAGTTTCAACGAGCATTGGCTAGCAGAAGACAAATACAAGCCATGGCTAAGACGAGGGTCAAGCCCACGAGTAGCCTCCTGCAAAGTTTGCAAAAATAACGATGGGAGAGTCTGCGCTGACGAGCCACATGAAAGGTAGGCCGTAGTAGAGCATTTTGGATTAGGCAAACGTAGGGCTGTACCCGAATATTCGACTATTCGAATATTCGTTCGTTGGCCAACTATTCGGGTTTCAATTTCATTATTCGGATATTCGTTTTTTAATTTTTTTCCCCCTAAATGTATGCTATCAATAAAGGCGAATTGCCATATTCTTATACTATATTTATACTTTTGAATTGCACTGTTAAAATGCGGAAATATATACAATATCAGCCTGTGCTCCTGACATCGCGTTCACTCAGTCACGAACGCAAACGGCACGCTTCACCTCGCTTCACCTCGTTTCACACACCTGAACACAAAATGCCGAAGACTTCAGCTGTGTGGGACCATTTTAAATTGGACGACGGTAAGAAGAAGGCAGTGTGCCAAATATGCGACAAGAAACTGGCCTACCACGGTGGCACAACAACTCTGAAAAGTCACCGGATGCTGTAAGTACTAGCCTAGCTTAGCTTAGCTGTTGTCAAGTTGCCATGATGAAGCTGCTTTATCCGCCGTTTAAACAGTAACGTTACACATGATAAAATCGTGCACTTACTTTGCTTGGAAAATAGTTGCAAGCAAGAAACCGAATTGTTTTTTTATATTAGTTTTTCAATTGTATCCGAATAGTGAAAATAATAGGAGCAATGTGGAACATCTGGGGCTAAGGCAATTATTGGCATACAGTTCGTTCATTTATTTTTCGTTCTTCATTTATTTAAATACTGTTTACTGTATCGGTAACAAGTATTACACTGTTACGGCTATGTTATTAAAAGTATTGTTGTTATAACAGAAATATGTGTTTTGTATCTTCAGGTTGTAAAACGTTATAGACGGAATTTGGAACCAGATTTGGTCCCCGGGCGCTGCACTGCGGCTGGGTTAAATGCAGAGGACACATTTAGTTTTAATGTATGCGAGTACTGAGACAATAAATACATATAAATCGTAACGGAGCGTCCACACAGCAGCGTGCGTTGATGCTTGGCGGTGGGCGTATCTGAAGCTTGGGGATTTTTTGCGAGCAACGCGACCAACAACCAATCACATGAATCTCCCGCCCCCGACATACAAAGCAATAGCAATGTTAAAACGAAGTAAACTGGATATAAAATCCCCAAACAGGCGGAAACCTACCAGTTTCATCCACTGTCTCTGCCTCCTCCCTCCATGCCTGGCTCCTCCGGTTTGTATCCCGGTAGATGAACAGAGACTGATCATAAAGCACCGCTACGATTATTTTCTCCTCCATTTTTTGGAATATGAGGAAATGACCTGCGTAGTCTCTCCCAGCATACACGCGGTTTGATTGGCTAGCGCTTGTACTGGCAGATTTGCATAAACGGGATTTCATTGGCTGACGCTTCGTCGAGGCGCCAAAAGTTGAACATTGCTCAACTTTTGAAGCGAGCAACGCCAGCAACGCTCCACGTCGCTTCCCAAAATGCAGTTCGGCTAAAAGTGACGTCACCCCATTCAAAGTGAATGGGCAGAAGCGTTGGAAGCTTCAACGCGGCCCGTCCACACAGCGGCGTGCGTTGACGCTTGCCGGCGGGCGTGTCTGACACTCGACCAACAACCAATCACATGAATCTCCCGCCCCTGACACACAAGCAGCGGTTTGATTGGCTAGAGCTTGTACTGGCATATGATTCGATTGGCTGACGCTTCTGCCGAGGCGTCAAAAGTTGAACATTGCTCAACTTTTGCAGCGAGCCACGCCAGCAACGCTCCGCGTCGCTTCCCACGATGCAGTTCGGCTAAAAGTGACGTCACCCCATTCAAAGTGAATGGGCAGAAGCGTTGGAAGCTTCAACGCACGCCGCTGTGTGGACGGGCCGTAATAGTATGCTCTTTCTGCGCTTCTGCTTAACAGCGTGTTGTCAGGTGTCTCGGAGCGTGTTGAAAAAATTGTTTTATTAATAAAAAATAAAAAGATCTCTCCGCACCGAATATTCGAATATTCGCTGTTGATTACTACCGAATATCCGGAGCCCGAAAAATGGTATTCGGGACAGCCCTAGGCTAACGTTGCATGTTACGTTTGTTTAAGCTAACGTTAGCGAGCTGAATAGCGAACTCGATTGAGGGATAATAATAATTGCAAGGGACAATCATTTCAGAGGAGCGTACCTATGTTAATATGTGCGTTACACTCGCCATCGTGTGGTGTTCAGAGGACGAAGCACTCACGGCATTTCGTGTTATAGTCACGAAATATAATCTATTGATTCGACACAGAGCGATTTTGAAAGCAATGTATTTCTACTGGTAGTATGTTTCGTGCCTAAACCAAATGTGACTTGATCTATCGAAATCAGTCACATTGACCCGAAGACACATTTTCGGTTGTATTACTGGTCTGGGGGAAGCTCGCGAGTGTGTTTGTGTATTTTTGCGTTTGTGTACCGGGGAAACACTCACAAGAAACACCGGCTGTTGTTATGCTTGCTGTGATGTTACATTAGTGATTAGTCCGTTCTCTGCTTGTAATTATGCCGTTACAAGCTTCAAAGTTGTATTTATCATCTGAATTTGCCAAAACAACTTTAATATTCTGAAAGCCAAGACTTTGTTTATTTGAAAACAGATGAAAACAAACTGTCCTTTATATAAAATTGAAGTATTATACAAGTAAAACTACATTTTGCTTTAATCCCATGTAATTGTAGAATGAACACAGTCTTCCTTTGAAGATGTATAAGTCAGGTGTCTTGAGTAGTCAAAATTACCTACAAATCATTGTACACATTTGTAAATATTATTTTCCACTTGTTACCATTGTGAGTCTATTTTTATGCAGCTCTGCGTGATTTTGTGGCTACAATTCAGACTAATACACTACCAGAGGTGGAATAAGTACTCAGATATTGTACTTGAGTAAAAGTACAAGTACTCAGATCTTGTAGTGAAATTATAAGTACTCAGATCTTGTGAGTAAAAGTAGAAGTACTCAGATCTTGTACTTGAGTAAAAGTAGAAGTACCAGAGTGTAGGAATACTCTGTTACAGTAAAAGTCCTGCATTCAAAATGTTCCTCAAGTAAAAGTAGAAAAGTATTCTCATCCAAATATAGTGAAAGTAGCGACAGTAAAAGTAGTCGTTGTGCAGATTGGTCCATTTCAGAATAATATATATGATATGTTTTATAATGATTGATCATGAAAGTGTTATCAAAGCTGGTAAAGGTGCAGCTAGTTTGAATGACTTTGTATACTGCAGGGCAGCTTGTGGATTTACTCCAGGTGGAACTAAAGTCTGATTTAACACTTGTTTATATTTCACATCATTCATCCAGATCTGTGAAGTAACTAAAGGTATTAAATACATGTAGTGGAGGAAAAGTACACCATTTACCCCTGACTTATGTTCACTGCCAACCTAAAAGTACCTCAAAAATAGTAATCAATAATGTATTGAAAAGTTATTTGGCTCAGCCAGGTTATATGGGAGGCCTAGTCTACGTACAGATCACTCATTTTGAAATATTAAACTTAGTTTTCTTTTCTTTAATTGTTCATCCTCGTGTAGAAGGCTATCACGAAACACACATTTGGTTGTTTATAGCATAAAGAACATCTGATTTAATGTGAGGTAGGGAAATAATCATTTGAGTATGTGTATATTTTATGTAATTTACAACAGCTGTAAGATGCTTGAAAATGCACCTTGAAAATGCTTGAAAAGTGCTTGAATTTGACTTTGGAAAAGGTGTAAGAACCCTGTATTATGCATTTATAAGGTATGTTTTTAATATTGATGGTAAACATGTGATTATTATTAATCTTGTAATATCTATTTATATATATATATTATCATGCTGGAAAATGAAGATATGCTTATTTGTATTGATGCTTTCTCTATTTTATGGATATTGTTAAAAAAAAAAAGAACATAACGTATTTTATGAAAATAATGTGATGTAATGTGATATATTCAATATGTATTACACTGCAGCATAGCTGGGGGTTCACAATATCATCATTTATTTGTATACCTATTTCTTTATCTGGAAAGTAATTTAAATTCTCAAACAAATGTTGTGCTATGCTGTTATATATAAAGTAGTAGGAGAAACTGGAAGTAATCAAGTGAAGTACAAGTATATTGACATTTTATTCAATAAAACCTAGTGATTTGGTGAATACAAAGTTTAACTGGAAGTCTATTGCAAAATGATACTAATATTGTTACAACATCAGTTATTATTTCACTAAATGATCCTATTACTGATTGTCCTGCATGAATCATACTAATACAATCCGTGGTTTCTTAATCTCAGTATCTTCCTAGAAGCAGAAACAAAGACTTCTCAGAACAGACAAAGTCATGAATATTTCAAAAATGTAACTTTTACACAGCTAGACTGAAGCACTTTTTTATTAGTCACTGCAATAAGTTGTAGCCCACAACTGTTTCCTTGTGTGCATTAAATATTGTTTTCACTTGTGGTTACAGGGTGCAAAATATAAAAGTGTGTCCACCAGCAAAGTGAATGGCTGGTAAATGCTGATTTATCTTCTGTCCGGTGTGATGCAAATGTACTGCATTATGTTAGCAGAATTTTACTTGTAAATACTGTGGTGTCCCAATCTAATACTAACTGTTTCTGATCTTCACAATGGTGAGCACAATCTAAACAAACGACAACAACAACAATCGTTTTTCTTCTTCAGGTTACATACCTTAAGGAGCGTGTCTGCAGGGATGCCGTCCATGTGCAGAGTCGTAGTGTCATCACCCATTTTGCCTTCTTGAAAAACTGGTTGCTGTTCTCGCAGATTACCTTTGCGGTGCTTATCTAGACAGAATGAATTACAGGGTATAAGGTCACCAAAATAAGAATACATTGTTTAATTTCAAGAGGCATAAAGCCATGCAGATAAAGTAATGTTTTGTGTATAGATAATTCAACCCAGTCTCATGGCATTTCGTGTTATAGTCATCTATTGATTCGTGTTCACACAGAACGATATTAAAAGCAATGTATTTCTATTGGTAGTATGTTTCGTGCCTGCACCACGTCTTTTTGTCAGGTCTTGGAATACCAGAAGCTGTGTGGTTAATAAAAACATTTTCTTTCCCTAAGCCTAACCCTTTTCTTTTAAATTGTATAATGTCTGAGTTTTTTTGCCGTCCGCGAGGAACAGAAATGGGGCAAAGTGCCTCAGAATACTGAAATCTGTATTTTTTTCCTTCTAATTTGTTATTATTTGGTGCAGGCACGAAACATACTACCAATATAAATACATTGCTTCTAAAATCTTTCTGTGTCAGCATATTGAAATCTGTACTTTTTTAAATCTGTTTTTCCTTCTATTTTGTTATTATTTACATTGCTTTTAAAATTGTGTGAACACGAATCAATAGATTAATTTCGTGACTACAGTATAACACGAAATTCTGTGAGACTGTGTTGGATAATTACATTCAAAGTCATACAGATGCATGCTATGCTAAGAAAGGCTGCAGTAAATGAGCTACAGGCCAATGTCAGAATGTTAATATGTTCACAATGATGCATGCTTATTTTTAGGAGGTATGTTCATGTTAGGTTAGTTTGATAGTTATTGTGGGAAGCTGCTTCTGTTGTGTGTTTAACCTAAAAAAAAACTGTTGATTCATTTTTATAATTAAAGAATTATATCATATATATATACTATATGATTTTGTTAGTAGAATAACTGGTATCAACATAGGTGCTCAACTGCTAGCAAAAATTGTGACTTTAACAAATGTTTTTTTTTTGCATTTACAGTCAGTTAGCTAACATTCAGACAAAAATCTTTATGGGAGGTGTAATTTAGCTGATTAATGCGTACTAACTCACAGAAGTCCCAGAAACAAGGATCAAATCCAATAAACAGGTAGTAGGAAGAGGAGAGGGAGAGGCATTGAGAAGGTCAACAGTAGCTAACTAGCATAGACGTTAGCATTGCTAATAAGAAGTTAGCTTGGCTCATTAGCTACACATTATTAAATTGTTAAAGGTGGGGCAGGTAATTTTGGAGAAACCAGCTCAAGTGCGCTAGTTTTTTACAGAGCCCGTCCTCCAACACACACGAACGCGCACATGACCAATGAGGGCACGAGATAAATTTGTGCACAGATGGAAGGCTGACAGGCAGGTAGGCCATCCAGTTATTTCAGCCGGGCCGGCTAAAACGATTGGTCGTGCTTTTTACAGTACTACGGCTTCCACAGATGACATTTTAGTATGGATTTTTGTCAAAGCACTTTATTTTATTATTATTATCAAGATATTCATTGCTATCGGGATGTTAAGAGTATTCCATGTAATCATGGGCGTAGGAAGCATCCTGAATGTGGGGGGGACATTTTTAACGGGGGGGTTGATACTTTTATGTGGCTATACTAGCATGAGGGAAATGATGGGTACATTTTGTAATTTCATCCAGTTGTAAAGAAAGGAAACACATTTGATTATTAATTGAGAGCCATCTTTGAATGAATAAAAAGCAGTTTAAATGCCCATTGTTTGTACATTTATATACAACAATAAATATTTGTGAATATAAATAGTTAACTGAATACTGGGATGGAAATTGCCTATAAGCACTCAGTAAAACATAAACACACACAAAAAGCTTCTGAATGATAAGAAGTATAATTAAAACATAATGCACATTACCATTTTGAGAGAGAGTACCTAAATTAAAGAACTCAGAAAATAATCTCTTATCGAACTGAGGCTCCAGTAAAACACACTGACTGCATCTATACGTGGACATCATGGTGTTTACATGAGCAAAGAGAGATCGGGTTATTCATGTTCCCTGTTTACATGATAAATACTAGTGTAACGTCCGAGGTGTTCAATTATACTTCTGTGTAACAAAAACTCAGGAACTTAGTACTTTTTGGAGCGTCCCAGATAGCGCCTCCGTTTATTATTGTACAGTCACACCACGCTCTCCTTCACCACACCAGGACAGACTGCGCATGCTCACAACACATGACCTCTCAACCCAATGCTTACACTAGTAACCTGGCATTTCGATGCCTTTTCTCATCTAAACTATTCAGTATTTGTATCTCTCTATCATGACATAAAGACGAAACTCCTCTCCAGAAGTGAGACGCTTTTGCCGCCACCGCCGCCATCACTGTTAACTGATTAACTGCTACCAGCTGATGACTTACTTTCCTCTTCTTTGACATTTGTTTCTTATGTCCATGTTGTCTGGGGGAGAAAACATATCAAACCAAGAGATCGTCAGCTTTGATTTTCGCTGTATTAACCATTTCCTGAACATTTGGTGTGTGTGCCTTACTCCGCTACCGGCATCGCTTCATACAACAGATCTGAGCTGTTGATATGTGAAGCTCATTAGCTAGCCAACATGTAGCAAATGTTTAGCAAAATATTAGAAGTGAGGCTACTAGACTAACGTTAGGTCTACTGTAATAGCTCTTAATATTTTGCAAAACATTAGCTAGCACTAGTGTTTTGCAGTTGCTAGCAGTTTATTGGGATGTTATGCTAGATAGACAGGCATTGTTTTGATATAATAAATTAAGCATTATTGTTAGTTAAGCATGTCAGCCTGCAGCCCCACTTCTTGTCTCTCTCTAACTCATTGCAGATGGCTGCACTAAAGAAAAGGGCACAGAGAGGAAACCAGTTGTAAGATGTTTAAAAGTTCATTAAACATAATATATGCTTAAATGCATTTCAAAGAAGTTGTGTTGGAGTTTGTGTTATTCTACATGTTGACACCAAGATTTTCTGATTTTACTGCAAATATATGGTTCCAAATATCGGTTATCGGTCTCCTTGATTACTAATAATCGGTATCGGTTACGGCCTTGAAAAGCCATATCGGTCGATCCCTAGTGAACATAACCAATCATAGCCAATAAAAATAAATGTAACTTATTTTATTTTTGTTGTTCTTTCATATCTTATTTGACCTATTGACATTTATTTATTCGTGCATATTTTTTAATCTCTCCAGTTTAAAACGATATTTTTGGTTTACTGTCCTATAGTATATGGAATGATTTCTAACCGGTTTATCCCAATAATTATAAAGGAGTGCCTTGGAAATATGTGATTACATAAATTGTGATCAAACCGTTTGAGACCCACTGAGATAACTTAGACTAAAGTGAACTATCTAAACACTCAGAGTCCTTTACCTCATTGGGCCACTCAGTCTGACTGGAGAGGACTCTCCCTCCACATTTTTGTAGAAACATCTTCTTCTTATATCCGTTAGAGCAACTACCAAGTCAAAAATGTTTTTCTACCAGCGCAGCGCCTCCCCAGATCTGGTGCCCTAGGCGAACATCTACAACGCCAGTGCTACAAGCCGGCCCTGTCGAGCCGGTTTCTCAAACTTACCCCACCTTTAAGTAATTCTAACAGGAGTGCTATCTGCAATTTTCTGAGGTATTAATCATATTTTAGGCTGCTAAAACACTTTTTCAAAGACCATATGAACACTGTTTGTTTCCAAAAGACATATTGGTTAAGATGTTTTCTTAGGGTTAACCCATTTTTTTAATGTCAGATTGAGATTGTCAAGCTCAACATTTCAAATCTGTTGTATGAATTACTTATACAATTATTTAGGAAAAAATTAAACAATAGTTTTGCAAAATATTACATTTTTATGATGTCCTTAGATTCCATGTGGAATCCATTCCATTCCTACTTTTTGCCAAAAACTTCTACCCTGTCACATTCAACCCCGTCACATTTTTTCAAGGAAATTCCTAGTAATTATTTATATGTTGTGCCTGAGGTGGGAAAATGTGTTTGCTCAAAGTTTTCCACTACCAGATGTTATGATCAAAAATGCAAAAAATGTAGTTTAATTTTTCAAAAATGTAAAGACCAAAAAGGCACCCGATTCAGAGAATCACCCGTGTACTTGAGGGTTTGTGACTTTGCAGACCGTTTACATGCATAAAAACCTTCATAACACACAAGGGGACGGGTAGACCATGGAGGGGGTCTCGGGCGGACGGCCCGGGGGCAAGGCAGAGTCCATGGAGGGGTTCTCTGGCGGACGGCCCGGGGGCAAGGCAGAGTCCATGGAGGGGCGAAGGCTACAGCGGGGCGAACTCAGGGGGCCGAGCATGAGGGCGAAGACCACGGCACTCAGGGGGCCGGGCTCGAGGGCGAAGACCGCGGCACTCAGGGGGCCGGGTTCGAGGGCGAAGACCGCGGCTCTCAGGGGGCCGGGCTCGAGGGAGAAGACCAGACAGCTCCGGAGGCCGGGCAGGAAGGCGCTGACTGGACAGCTCCGGAGGCCGGGCAGGAAGGCGCTGACGGGACAGCTCCGGAGGCCGGGCAGGAAGGCGCTGACGGGACAGCCCCGTCGGCCGGACAGGAACCAGAGCCGGTGGGACAGGCTTCGGCAGGATCCCCCACGGAAGAGGACCAGGAGTTGGCAGGACCCCCGGCGAGACAGGTAACGGCGGGACCTCCAACGGAACAAGGCATGGGATTGGCAGGACTCTCAGCGGGACCCCCAACGGGACAGGACACAGGGTTGACAGGACCCCCGGCAAGAGAGTAGTCGGTGGGACCTCCAACGGCACAGGACATAGGGTTGGCAGGACCCCCGGCAGAAGAGTAGTCGGCGGGACCCCCAATGGGACAGGACACAGGGTTGGCAGGACCCCCAGCGGAACCTCCAACGGGACAGGACACAGGGTTGACAGGACCCCCGGCAGGAGAGTAGTCGGCGGGACCCCCAATTGGACAGGACACAGGGTTGGCAGGACCCCCGGCAGGAGAGTAGTCGGCGGGACCTCCAACGGCACAGG